AATGGCGGCGGAGCCGGGCGGGGAGCGGCGCGGGCGCCCTCGGGGGGCGGGACCGGACCGGACCGGACCGGGTCAGGCCAGGCCAGGCGGCCCGTTGGCGGGCTGGTGCGGAAGCAGGAGGCCGTCGCTGACGCCCTGGATGTCCCGGGAGGCGACGCCTCCGGGCGGCGGCGGAGGGGCTGAGGCTCGTCCCGAGGGAGCCGGGAGCGAGGGGCTCCTCGAACGGCTCGCGCCTGTTTCCGAGCGGCCTCGGTCTCCCCCGGCCCGGCCGCTGGGGAGGCCTCCGCCGCGGGAGCGGGTCCCGTGCTCCTGCCGCCGGCGGGCGGCTGGCTGCTGGCCCTGCTCGCGGAGAAGCGCGGTTTGCAGCGCTTAACGTTTTGCCGAGGCTTGCTGAGGGTGAAGAAGGAGACTTCTGAGAAGATGTCGAGCTGCAATAACGCTCAGCAGTATCAGCCAGTAACGGTGGCCGGTGTTTCGCGCCATTTAAGCTCGCGTCGTGGAGAGACCGTAACGTCAACCTTCTTTTTCACTCCCAAACCAGAAAGTTTTAAAGCAGTCGCCCCTCGAAAACATAATATGTGCAATAAGTGTTTCTTCTTCATCTACCCAAGTTATTTAGCGTGTATGTGCGTGACAGAAAAATACTTGTTTTTTAAACCGATAGGGAATTACACAGCAGTATCTCCACTAATGCTGTTATGCGGATTAAATTAGGGGAGACAACATAAAACCTTGTGTTGTTTGTATAAAATTTTACTTCATGCACACAAGAGCACCTGGGCTTTAGCTGCATTATTTTTTCCTGGATTAAAATCTTGTTCCAGAGCTCCTCTGGGGCTCCTTCCAAGAAATCTTTAGAATCCTCACTGAGCACATGAAAACTTCTAGAAATATTTTTAGTTACCTTTATTAAAGATGGTTTTTAATGGCTGAAAGACATCAGAGAAATTGTTAGGTAGGTTTTGCTAAAGTTTCATTCTTGTGTACTGATAGCTTGAAGCATACAAAGCAGAACTACCAGCAAAAGGTGAATTTTGGAAACCTCAGCAGCCTTACAGTGCATGGCTAACGTAAGTAGAAAGTTGTACCGGGCGTAAGTTAGTTACTAGAAGGACCTTTCAGTGACAGGTAAAAGAGGGGACTGCTGTGGTCTGTCAACAACTTACGGAGGGAAACAGTAGAGCCTTTCACATCTAAAATACCAGTTCAAATCCCTGTCTATAGAAAATGGATTTGCAGTCCTGTTCCTTCTTGAGGTGTGGTTGTTACTCACACAGTAGTAACTCCGGCTTCCCTGGCACTAGCTAGATCTTTTGGAACAAACATTATGTGATTCCAGTGGGTTCTGCATTCGTGAATGCATCCAGTAAACTCCTATGTGCTGAATAGAGAAACTGGCA